TTTTTTTCGAGCCGCTGCATCACATCGCGGTGTGAATGTGGTTGGTGCTCTTTCGTGTCCTCCGATCGTTCGCATTCCGTATCTACGTACTACTAACGGTGGTGGCGTGATTTCTCGTCGCTGAACACGTTTATTAAATTGTACTCGTTGAGCGTGAATTCTGTCACGTGCTTCAAATGCGGCTTGTCGCTGCGGTCTCTGGTTTTGCGTTTGAACAGGGTCTGGTTCTTGGAATAGTAAATCTAAATTAAGTGTATCATCATCATCATTCCGTTCGTTTTGTACGTGAGTATTATGCACATCATCGTTGTTCTGCTGTTCTTCAGGGTCTGGAAATTGAATATCACCTTGTGGTTCTTCATTATCGTTTTGATCGTTTACTTCATCTGCTGGTTCTTCTTGTATCTCAGCAGGTGGTGGGGCCACGATGGGTATCGGTGGCGCTATCATCGGCATTGGTGCAGGAATTGCTGGTGGTACGGGTGGTGCTACAGGGGCTGCTGCTCCTGGTGCTACTGCTAGTGGTACCGATAATTGGATTGTTGCTGGCTGCTGAGTTTGAGTGTTTATTTCGGAAGGTTGAATATCTTCTAAGAGCTGAGGTAATTGTCCGTCGAACAGTTCTGGTTCTCCTCGGTACTGTCCTAATGAAGGATCTGTCATAAATGTTGTTGGATCAATGCTTTCTAGGTCTTCTGGTTCTTGTTGAGGCACAACTGGCTTCAATCGAATCCGATGAACACATTGCGTATATAGCGTTCCTATTTTTCGGATGAGATAATTTGAGTTGGTCAGAACCTTTTCTACTCTATAGAGAGGTATCCACACTTGTTTTGATTGTTTTCCGAAATCTGATTGTGTTGTTAATTTTGGATTGAGAAGAAAGCAGTATGAATGAAGCTGGAGCGGTTGTGCTAATGCTTTCTGATCGTAATATCCGCGATATCGTTGATATGAGTCAATGATATTCTGTTTAGTTTCTTTAAATTTCTCTAACATTGCGTCTTGCATTGAGGTTACAAAATCTGATTCAGCAGTTATTGATTCGAGTGCTGTGGTTGAAAAACGAAGGTCAAGTGGTTTGGTTGGCTCTCGTCCATGAAAAATTGCGCTAGGGCTACATCCTATTGATGAATAGTACGATGTATTATGAATAAACGTTGCTAACGGGACGTACTTGTGCCAATCAGACCATTCTTCGTTTGTATTCAGCTTCAAGATTCGTTTGAGTGCTGCGTGAGATCGTTCAACGAGTCCGATCGTCTGTGGGTGTTTGAGTGTTGCATGACTGATTTGTATCTCCAATAGCGATGTAAGCTCATGCATTAGTTTCGATGTAAATGCACTTCCTAGATCTGACAAGATTCGTTTCGGGACGTAGCTATGGGTAAAGAAAATTTTCGTCAGTTCCCTCGCAATTGTATCCGCTGACACATTTGTCAGTGGTATTGCAAACAGGTATTTAGAAAAGACATCAATTCCCGTAAGGACAAATTTATAAACTGTGGATCGAAATGGTCCTACGATGTCAATTTGCATCATGTCGCCTGGGAACGATTGTAATGATGAAACTGGTTGTAATGGAGGGGTTTGGTATCTGCTGGAGTTTTTCTTCAGTTGGAGACAAGTCAGGCAATTCTTGATGATATGCAGAAGAAACTCTGTGAATCCTGGAAAGTAGAATCTCTTCCTGAATTCCTCTATGGTTCTGCCCATTCCGAGATGTCCTCCACTCGGTGAGTTATGTAGACGGTACACGACTTCCTGCCACAGATGTTTGGGTAGGCAGTATTGATGGTATTTTACTTTGCCTGTGTCATCGAAGAATTTTCGGTAAAGAATTTGGTCTTTCAGTTCAAGTCGATTAAACTGCTTTGCGTATTTTTTCCGTTTGCTGTTCTCGTATTTCAAATCTGGGATTTCGTTAAGAAGTATCCACTTTATGACTTCCTCAATGTCGAGATCCTTGCTTTGTTCCTCCTTCAAATTCAGTGGTTCATTTCTGTTTTGTATATCCGAAAAAACATCTGCTGGATCGGGGTATTCGATTGCTGATATTGCTGGTTTCATTAGTCGTACAAGCGTTTGTGCTTCTAGTTCATCCGAGTTTTGTGTTATGGCTTGTTTTTGCAAGTATGCTTCGAGAAGGCCCACAGATTCCAGTTGTTGACGCAATTCGTTTGTCATCTGCATCTGTTCAGGGAATGCTTCCTGTATTTCCTCTACAGAGTTGAGTGATGCATCTGGTACTTTTGCCGTTGAATCTATGTGTATTTCTCGTACTGGTATTTTGTCTGTTAGTCGCAAAGATAGAGATGCATTCGGATCTGTCTGCATGCGCGACAAAAAATCTGCTGCATGATTTGCTTTTCCTGGTATGTGCGCTATGACAATGTTAAATGCTAAGACTCTGTCTAAGAAATTCCAAACGGATGGTGGTATTGACTTTGATTGAAAAAATTGTGTTAAGCTTCGATTATCTGTTAGAACGATTACAGGTTTTGTTGCACCCCAGATGAAGTGTGCAAAGTGGTCTAATGCGAAGTAGAGTGCTAAGAATTCCTTGTAGTAGATCGAAAATTTTAGTTGTGGTTCATTGAAAAGTCTTGATCCAAATGATACTGGTGCATAGGTTTTCGTTTTGCCTTTGTTTTCAGTGCTTATGTAGTCCTCTACCATGAGAACAAATCCAGTTCCGTGATAACTTGCATCACAAAGGATCACATATTGCAAATCAGGCTTTGGTAATCTTAGTGTTATCGTCGTTGCTTGCAAAAGATCGTGTTTAAGTACTTCAAGACCTTTGTGGTGTTCTGGTAGAATTCTAAAATCAGCATCCTTTTTCAAAAGTCTGTAAAAGGGTAGTAATTTTTCTCCTAGGCTTGGCATATAGTTCCTAAAGAACTGTACAAATCCGATAAGTCTCTTGACTTGTTTCACAGTTTGCGGCATTCGTATATTACGTAGGAATTTTTGTATTTTTACTTCTTCGGGGGAAACTCCCGCTGGTGTTACTATGTTGCCTAAGAATTTCATCTTTTCTGTGCCTATTTCGCATTTACTTGGTGATAATTTCAGTCCTGATTTTTGGATACAATCAAAGATTTTAGACAAGGTTGGTATTAGTTCATCAAAAGTGTGCACTGCACTTCCTATATCATCCATGAACTGAGTACACATATCCCCTGCTAAGCATGGATCTAGGTAATGACGGATGAAAGAACTAAATCCGGTTACTGATTTGTTCAGACCTTGAGCTAGACATTTATAGGCATAGGTGCGTGATGAAAAGTTAAATGCCAATAGTTGAACTGAGATGTCATCTGCCATTTGCACACAATGGTATGCTTGCGAGCAATCAAGCTTTGTAAACAGTTTCTTTCCGGCAAAATGATTTGAAGCATCTGTCATGTTTGAAATTGGGAAGTTGGCATTTAGATAGTCATTTTTGAGCGAATGGTTTATTCTTCTTAAGTCAATAAGCATTCTGAGTTTGCCTGATGGTTTTCGATGAGCAAACAGTGGACTACTGTACTTTGATTGTGATAACGTTGTTATTAAGCCAAAGTAGTGCATTAATGCTAGTTCAACCGTTAATTCCTTTCGTAGGTGGATTGGCGTTGGTGGACCTTGTGTATACAGGGGTCGTTGATGTTCCGGTGTGAGTTTAATTTGAAGTTCGGAATTATACCCGACATCAAATCGATGTTTGGCAAATACGTCTGAATATTTAACTAGTAAATTTTCTACTTCTGACCTTTGGGCGTTCGTGAGGATGGAATTTTCCCAATTGAACTGGCTTAGGAATGTCAATCTATCATGGTCATTCAATTTCGGTTCACAAAGTTCAAGTTTTTTAAAGTTGAGGATCTGATCGTAGATTTCTCTTTGAATCGGTGTAAGAAAATTAGGGTTTTCACACGTTTCCGGTGTCGGGAACCACAATTTTTCATACTCTGGCTCAGGTTTGCTAATTTTCATGTTATCTGATTCATTCACTTGAATAAGTTGATTGATTTCATGCTCTAAATCCTCTGGATTATTCATTTTTGCGAGTGCTAATGTCTGTGAATCAATTGGGATGATGTTACGAGTGTCTGTTGATCTTAAAATCTTAAAATTTGCTATTTTACTTCTGTTTGGTAGGGTTATTACGTGATCTGTAACGTTGAGTGCTGCAATATATAGTTTGCTGGCTGCTGTTGTTTCACTAATTGATGACATAAGTGCAATATTGGAGTCATCTTCAAATTCAGGGATTGGTAAAACTGTTCCAATAGTGTTTTTGATATTTGTTTCTGTGAAACATTCTAACAGTACTGTTTTCTTCGGTTGAATAACGTATTTCTGTGACAGAAGTAGGGCAAATCGTAGCGTAGGTTTCTTGTGTCGTTTTGAGGTAGGTGACTTGATTTCGTTGACTTGGATTGTCAATTCTGGAAATTTAAGAAGGTCATATTTTGGACAAATTTCTATGTTGTGCTTTTTATAAAATCCGTTTCCAAGTATCATAGAATTTGCTTTTGGGAGCACTAAAAAATTTTCTGTAAAGGTTTGCGCTGCGATTCGGAAACATATTATAGCTTCTGTATCTATTGGTACTAGTTGTCCAGCTGCCATTCGTACTCGTTTCAACTTTGATTCTTGGGTCTGGATTACTTTATATAATGTTTTGTCTTCTTTGAGTTCATTTAAGGTTTTTCTGGTAATGACGTTTGCACAGGCACCAGTGTCTACAAGTGCGCGCTTGAATGTTTGAGGTGCAAACTGAAGTTTGACGTAAGTTAAAATTTTATCAGTTTCCGGGACGACTGCGTAAAGATCAAGAATTTCTTCTGGATCAATTTTTTCATTGGGGTCGATTTTCCGCTTCGTTTGATCAGGGTGTGGTTTTTTGGGTCGCTTTTTGTGAGACTTAGAGTTTCTTTTTCGTTTAGGAGTTTTGGCTGATTTTTCGTTGATGATTTTCGTTTCTTTACTTGACTCTTGACTCGGTGGCTTTAGAAGTTTTTTGGCTGCTGTTGGAATGGGAAAGATTGTCCCTTTCCTTGAGGTTTTTGTCGAAAGTGACATTGACTGGCTGTATGGTTAGGGTATCCGCAGTTCTCACAGAATACTGCAGTTGCTTGGATGACTGGCATGTATGGCATGGCTGGGTTTTGTATATCAACATTTTGTGCTTGTTGTTGGACTGACTGTTGTTGATAGTTATTTGGTTGCGGAAATTGGTAGTTCTGATTTGGGAAGAATGGTTGGAACTGTTGCTGTTGGTTTCCTCGGAAATTATTGTAAGGGTTTCGGTAACGTCCACCTCTTCCTCGATATCCAGATCTGAAATTGCTCTGGTGAGGGTATTGTCCTCTATAATTTTGATTCCCCTGGTTTGACTGGTTTCCTGGGAAGAATTCGGTTGAATGGTCAGGGTAGGGTTGGTAAGATTGTCTCTGCTGATGACCTCTGCCTCCTCCGCGAAATCCTCGTTGGAAACCACGGTTATAGTCATTTCGCGGTCGATTCTGCTGATGCTGCTGCTGTTGTTGTTGTTGTTTGGATGATTGTTGCGCTGAAGTCGATGCTTCTTGACGATTTCTATCGCTCATTTGCGTTCGAATTTCGTTGAATTGTTTTTCCATAGCTTCTTGTGTCGCGCTAAGTTTAGACAAGGCGTTTATCAGATTATCGGATACTGTTGCGCTAATTTCATTGAATCCATCCTCTGGATAATCTTCTTTTCGGCAAACTTCGCGTATGGTCATTTGTCTCCTTGTATATGTACACAATTCTTGTACTGTTTCTCCCGCAGGGCGATCCATTAGTTTGCCTCGAAGCCAATTGGGCATGGCTTTTATAAAAAGTCTGCGAACCTGTTCATCCCGATTTTCTCTGACTGCGTCTAATCTTTCGTCGCGTTGGGCAGTTTCTCGAGCATGTCGTGCTGCTTCGAGAGCTGCATCCGCTGCTCCTGCATCAATTGGGTTAGGAATTGCAATTTCAGGCGTTGGGTATGCTTTCTCCGCTTTTTTCTGTAACGTCACCAAGAAATTCTCCGGCGTATCCTTCTTTAAATCATATTTAGTTTGTTCAAGCTTCAAGACATGAACTTCTTGAAGTTGAGGATTACTGAAATGGTCTCGCAATGCTGTCAGACTATTCGCTACGTTTTCTCTGGTTGCGGCTGGTAACGTTTGGTAAAACCGAAGTGCGTGATCTCGCAAATGGAGTTGAAGAAAGTTCGCTTGCTGGAGTGGTGCGACACCTGCAACTCCGATGAATCCGTTGAAGAGTTGTTCGAATTGGGCGAAATCTTCGGCATCCGTACCGCCGTATGGTGTGACTGAGATTTGAGCGTGCGCCATTTACAATTTTGATGATTTTCAGTCTGATTTATGCAATTAGTGAAACTTATTAGCACAAATTAGGATAGGTTTTCCGCAAAAGGTAATAAGTTACGAGCTATTTCGTTTAAGTACTCAATATGGTTATTGGCAAATGTTCAATAATCTTTAGGTGGGTTTAGGTAGTGGTACGATACTATTTTGACTTTAAGCATTAATTTATTGCATTTACGCTTCTCCAATTTTTGATGAATTCATAAATTTAATGATTGATTTCAAACTGGGTTGATTGAGCGCACACCAATTTTAAAACTTCCACCAATATATAGCACAAGAGTCTTAATGGTTTGACCTACAAGTTTGTAGAGACGAAAGTTCTCGAGTTTTTCCCCTGATACATCACTTGGATGAAGTTTCCTCAACTAGAAAATCCACAAAAACTGTAGGATGTAGTATAAGTTTTCACTTCTTTGGCTCGACACAGTTGCTGCGCTTGATCTATTGTTTTAGCACCCTTGCGATGTCGTCTGGATGTTCAGCTGGAGTGGGTGGAGATTGTCACTGTCGTTCACGAACTATCACCATATGACATACTGCTTGTTGGTCTCTATTTGCATGTTCTTTCTAGATGTTATTGTTGCAGTATCTTATCACGGACGCTTGGGCCCCGACAGCATGAATCTCTCCCTAATCTTCAGCTCACTAACAATTTAGCTTTTGGTTAGTTTTATTCAATTTCTCTTTCTGACTGTTTATTAGACTAACTATCGCTTGCTTCTCAATTCTGAACACACTATTTACATTGTGTCAATAATAAGTTATTCAACTGCATGCTTGAGATTTTAACATTATACATTTTCTAATATGGCAATAATTTCATGGCTATCAATGACATCACTTTAGAGGTGTCACAACAAACAAATTTTTTTCGCCCATCGAAAGGCGCATTATGCAGCCATTAAATCGATATATTATAGGTCCAAACTTATCAAGCCGAAAAAAGAAAAAAGCCGAAAAAAATTGTTGGTCATGAATATTGAACTATAAATTCTATTAAGATTTTTAGACTTTTGTGCGATGCAGAGGTGAGCATAAAAATTATGTTTCCCTTGAGACTACTCGAAATTAGGCCAGTAAGTCGATATAAAATAGGTCGAAGCCTATTAAGCCGAAAAAAAAAGAAACAAAAAATAAAATTTTACAAATGGAGTTGGAAAACATCAACCAACACAAAAAGCAAATTTTTAAAAGGACGGATATTCAAAATAACAAACTCAACCATGCTTAGTATTTGCAACCGAGAGGAGTAGGATTTGCAGCGAGGACGAAGAGGTGAAGGAGTTCAGAAGTGAGTCTTGTGAACAAAGTTATTTACGGGAAAAAAGTCTAGCACCTGATTGCAATACCCTTGCTTATCGACCCTTCAGATAGCTGTATCACACCAAAATGATGAAAATAGACGCCGGTGAAGGAAACAAAGAAACAAACAAAAATTTATTATTTTTCCAAAACTTTCATCCAGAAAGCATCACACTTTTGAAGGTCGTGCTACACTCGTCAAGATCTTTTGCTGACAAAATAGTCAAATTCAAATTGTGAAAAACAACAAAATTTTCCTGAACTGTAGAAACAAACACTATCTCACCATTTTAAAATGACTTCAAATAACATTGCTCAACCCTAAAACAGTAAAAAAAAAACTTATTCGCATTTTAAACAAAGACAATTAAAAAAATGACACGCATTTTAGATTTCAAAAAAAAACAAGCCATGCATTCGAAAAAGAATAATGTATTTTTTTATTTCAAAGCTTTTTTACTAGTCTAACAGAAAGTTTTGTCATGTATAAAACACAAAAACTAAGAACTATAGATACCCTCTTGAAAATGAAGACAGAGTACTGAAGGAATCTACCAAAACAGAAAAAAGACACCTGGCAAGCCGATAAAACAAGCAGACAATTAGTTTTTTTTTAAAACGCCAGGAGGCGCGTTTTAAATTTAATTTCGTGCTGAAAAACCAGTGTTCGTGTATAAATTTACAGAAAATGAAAAAAAAACGGAAGTCTGGTCATGGATGGTGGAATGAGTTTATTGGCTATTAATAAGAATATTGACATCGGTATTCTTTGTAGTACATGAAGTATAGATTTGCTTCTTTCGATGGCCTCGGATTGCGATTAGAGCAGTTTTCAATATTGTGAAGGATAGCTTCTTTCTGATGTAATTCATGGTGTCGGTATAGGAACAATCGGTCTTTTCACTCATCTTCTCGGCAAGCACAGAATGACAAATAATAGGACAGAAGGTTTTCTGAAACTGAGAACTTCCCGCTTGAAAAAAAAACAGGTCCTGGTCAGATTCGAGCCCAACACTTTGCCGTCCCAGTGGTATTCGTTGCCTCCACACTAAGTGTACCGGAGACGCTTAGACATTCGAATTCATTATGAGCTAAGATACCAAGTCATTCTGTTAAACAAGTTATTAACCCGAAAAAATTCTATATTCCAATTTGTTAACACCTGCTAATGGCAAGCGTAACCAAGAGGTTACATGAAATTAAAACAATCTGCTGAAAAAAAAAACACTGTTTTGATGAATAAACTTTCATAATTTGAACAAACTTTCAACATCCGAACCCAACTGATTTAAAACAATGTCATCAGAAACAGAAAGAAACAATTTAAACAAAAAGGGAAACAATACAGTTTTTTCAGAGAGATAAAGTCTCAAAAAGCAATCAAACACAATAACTTTTTCAAGTTTTGTTACTTTAACTTCATCGATTGCCTGTTTTTTGAAAATCAGAAGAACATTTTCGTCGCTCTTCATAGCACAGGAACACAGCAGAAGTAAAGTAGGTCCACTGTAAGTAAAACCGGCTGGGAAAAATACTAATGGTTCGTTCATAAAACCATTTAGTGTCGCATCTGAACTGTCTTGGCTGGATATTATATGGGAAAACAATTGCTGTTCGGAGGTAGCTTTGCTCACACGCTTAAAAACCATATCTGCGAGTTCAGACTTTCTTGCAACTTCTGAGGTGCCTGAATTAGCTGTGCACGATGCCTCACAACTTGATAAAGATGACTGACTGTTGATTGGAATGCAGCTGTTTGGTTTAGTATCTGACAATGAGCTTTGGGAAAGAAGAAATTCTTGTGATATTTGAGAACATGAGTCTATCGTAAGCTTACTGTTATCTGTAACCTGGGAGTATTCCACAACTTTCATCAAAGCTCCTCCGGTGAATTTACCCTCAGTGGTGTCTAGACTGTTTTGTGATTTCACGTGTTCTGAACTAAGACCCAGGCTGGAATTTTTATTCCTGGCTGTATCGGGAACAATTGGCACATTATTTGAAAACAATGAACTGCTTTCATCTGATTCGCCAAAAAATAAGGAAAAGACTGAACTGCTACCACCAAAGCTTTCATCGGTGCATATACTGTCAACCTTGTTTTTCTCACTATTAGTGAATGACAAACCTGCCCAACTATTTATCATGTTTGGACGATTACCAATGTTTTGTTGTTTCCGAAATGACGGCAAATTTGGAATATTTGTGGCCACCTCACCCATTTCCCTTGGCATAAAATGACAAAAACCTTCAGCTGCTTCACTCCACCTCCGCTTGCGCACTTCCGACATTTTCTCTGGAAAAGGTAGCAGTTTAAATGATAAATGGCTGAAAGATATGAAATAATAATCATAATAATAATTGTAACAGTCGCCTACTTTAGTCACATATGAGGCTTAAGAGAAATAGGCCCTATAACCATTGGCTCAAGAGTCAGGGACACTATCTCTTGTGTTTTTCTACCTCAAGAACGGTCGGAGCCAATTCGGTTCGCTTGCGACATGAGACTAGAACCCGTTACAGCTTAAAGGCCACTACCAAAATACCCCCCCACTCTAGAAATAAGAACGTCCCCATACTTAGGTCTCGAAATACCCAAAATACATGAACGCCGTTAAAAACCGGGTCGGAACAATCCGCTTAGTTACTTTTTATTGGACAGTGGAACTTTGATCCATTTCAGATGGATCACCCTAAAACTCGCCTTATCTCAACATAACTATCATAAAATACACTCGAGAAATTTAAATTGAGAACTCACATGTCGATGCGCTTGAGTATGAGGGGTAATTAAAAGATGAGCAGCTCGAGAATCAAATAATATAACTAAATAAGTTTGATGCTAATTAGTTTTAACAACAGAAGTAAGTTGTCTCAAGAATCAAAGTTTCTGTATGAACCATCGGGACACTCGAGTTGTCCTCTCTTCCATTGAATGTTCACTCTGTTCCGTTCGAATAATCGTCCTTTCTCAAGTCTGTGTTCTATTCTCCTGTTTTCAGGATAAGACAGCTCTACTCTCTTATTATTTCGTATCGAGAAATTGGGAATAGCAATTTCCTGCCTTTTTCTTGAGTAGTTTCCCGCAATTGTTAATTCGGTCGTTCTGATTTTTCACTTTTTTTGTTTTCAGTTGGTTCGAGAAAACTGAGCATGACAGGCTCCATTCGAAATTTTTAAAATCAAAACTTCACTCCAAAATTACGTGTTTCTCAAGGTCAAACCTCCAGACATGACCGACTGGCACATACTCCCCGGACTCGAGATCGATGTCCTCATCGCGTGTTGTCATCTGCCAGTGAGTCCCAGAGAACCGAGTGTTGCTCAAGATACAGTGCCAGTGGTCATTTACAGAAGTTTGCATCGGACTTAAGTTTGTCTACCTTCCAAAATTCACAACCATATAAAATTTTCACACTATCGCTAAACACCAATCAAAATCTGCACACACCTGCACCCATGAATCCCCGCTTTTTAAGCTGGTAATTTTAAAATTTCTTTTGTCCGATTCAGTCAGGAAATTATCATGCATCATTTTGATTTATATAAAAGATTTATCATATTAATAACAATAGCTTATTCGTCTAAAATTTCTTTTTCGTGAACCCGGATTTCATCCGAGTTGACCCTCGAGCCCCCTCCCTCTCAAGACTCAAGACTTT